ATAAATAAAAACATTATAATAATGATTAAATTGAAATATTATCAAAAATAATAAATTAAATTTTTAATAATGAAATATAAAAAAAAGTTTATAAAAATATTTTCTTCAAAAAATTTATTTATTTCTAAATTCTTTTATTTTGGGAGTGAATGCGAAACATTAACTCCTTCTCGGAGTAAATATCACTCCCGCTGGGAGTGAATCAATTAAAAATCATTCACTCCTCATTCACTCCGCGTTCACTCCGCGTTCACTCCGCAAATTTTTTACAGTGTAATGAAATATTTTCCGTTTCTTCTATTGAATGAAAGTGTTAATTATTAGATTAATAATAATTTAGATTTGTTTTTGTAAAATATAATATTCTAAACAGATTACCATATAAGTTAGGTATGACTTTTTCTAATCCCTAATTAATAAATAGTTCATCCATCGATTAATGGAATTAGTGATCACTATTATGTATGCAAATAAACTATTTTTTGATACGTCGCTGTAGCTTTAAGTTGTAATCAAAACAATCAACACTTGGTAATAATAGAGGTCACTTTTGGCGCGGTTCAAGTGACGTCATGAGAGCAGTAGTTGAGAGTTTTAATAACAAAGATGTCGTTGTTTTCGACAAATTTAGCATCTTTACCACAAATAAATGATATACTTCTGACGAATAATGAAATAATTCAAGTCAACTGTTATTTATATTTACTTGTACCAAACCTATACAATTTGTCATAAGGAAATATTTAAAAAAATGACTCAAATAGATTGATTTATGTGTGACATATTTTTTTTTCTGTGTACCTTAAATAAAAATTTAGAATCGCTTTTTCTTTCCATGTAGAAATGTTTAGAAGTTCATGTTTGATATCGTATTATTGTCTATTTTTGTAAATATATTCATTTTATTTAATAATATTTTAGCATTTGAAAATTAATTTTCCCCTGCTTTAAAAACTTTAATTTTTTTTCAAGCTGCACTTTGTATTGTCGCACTAAAACTACTTTTAAATCTAAAATGAAATTAATTATTTCTAGAAATGCCAACTAAATTCATGTGAATGTCAACCTGGTTACGTCCGTGGACCTGACAAAAAATGTATATTACTTCAAAATTGTCCCTCAAACTTTTCTAAAATCAAGCCAAAGTGTTCTCCTTGCATGGGTGGTCCTCATGATAAATGTGTTGCATGTGCTAGTAGATGTCCTTTGACTTGTCAAAGTTTACCAACTCCCGCTGTCCATCGTTTTTGTACACAGGTATATGATATGATTACACTAAAAAAATTTGCGTAGGCAATTTTTAATTGACTCAATTCCTCTGGAGTGAAAATTACTCATAGAAAAAGTATTGCAATTATTAATAAGAAAAATTTCCCGGATAAACTCGTCATTGTTTTTTTGTTTAAATAGAAATAAAAAAAATAGTTATTGATTTAAAAATTACTGAATACTTATTTAGAGATTTTTAAAATTAATACAACTTTTTCTCTTCAGTATAATATACAAAAAAAAGTTTAAAGACTTGAAAAAAATTGCAAAATTTTTTTTTCAATTTTTATAAATGGCATTTTTTTATGAATTCTCTCTATCATTATTTATTTGTCAAAAAAATCCTAAAAATTGTGATATAATAATTAATTTTACTAACATTAAATTTAATTAAAAGTTACAATGCTAATAATGTATTATTTTTCACTTTTTACCGCAGAATTTACCGACAAGTCTTAAAAACAATATGATTAATATTAAAATTACGTTCAAGTTCCAAAAAAGTCAATGATTAATTCACAAACGTAAACTTGAAAAGAAAAATCTCCAGATTTATTTCGTATGCTGAATGTTTTATTTTATTACTCCCGTATTCCGCGTGATAAAATTTAAAATTCACTCCTAATTTTTTAAAATAAATTTTATTTCCAAGTTGTTCACATTTATCATTTTTTTTCTCTGTTGTAGCCTTGCAAAGAAAATTCATGTGAATGCGAATACGGATATGTTCGCGACAATCTTGGCTGGTGCATCAAATCTGAATATTGTCCAAATTTAAACGATGATAGCAGTTATTATGATGATTATTATTGACAATTTCTTTCATTTTGGAATTTCATCTGGAAAACTGTATTTAGACACTTTTTATTTGACTAAGACTATAAATATTTAAAATCTAGGATTAAAATCTAATACAAGTGATTTAATCTAAAGAAAGGTAAACTGAAACCAGATTAGATCAAATCTGTCGCCTTAGGTACTAATTCTTAGAGGTGAAATAGAAGAAAAGTGTCAGTGTCTAAAATAATAAAATCATTATAAATAGTGTTACTGAACAAACATAATAATACGACTGGCGTGCTCTGGCACGCGCTTGGCAGGTGCTTATATTATTCTAGCTACGCACTGCTACCCGCACGATTACAAAGATAAAATTCAACTCGCTGTAATTATTACTGTCTAGCTTACGTATAACATGTGCAATCAACGGATTTTCAATTGTGACGTAGTTTATTTTTTTTTTAATTTAGGAAAGCATATTTTAGAAAACATTTTTCCATTTTATAGCATCAGTTTATTAATTAGTTTCAAACTAAGAACAATTTTTTAAGCAGAATTTATTTAAAAAAAAATAAATAAACGATCTACATATTTATTGTATCACCCATGAATATTTATTGCAGTCACGTGGCGAGCACACGCTTACAACTTCATCCTAACAACAAACTTCCGTCACTTTTCCAAGCCGGAAATGAATTAATGTTACTAATAAAACCAAAAAAGACTATTTAATATGTAATACGAATATCACACCTGGTGTTTTTTACATAACATAAATTTCTGACTTTTTGTAATTAACAGGTCATACTGACTTTTTATTTTTGTGGAATTATGGTTATCCGCTTATATTTTATAATACAAAATAAACGAATTTAAGCTAATTTTTTAATTGATTATCGCTTTTGATATTTCATACAAATGGACCAATGGTTGAAATCTAACTCTTTTAAATTTGATAAAATTTGGTGGGAAGTTGTCGTTAATACTAAAACGAAATTTTACAAAAAGCAAAAAATTAAAGAAATTTTTTTCAAAAGTTATAAAAAATTCAAAATTTTTTTATTTCTTCACTTTATCGAATTTAATTTTACAACATCTCGAACTTATTATAGCTATAAAAAAGTGCTTGAGTTTATTCTATTAGAGAGAATGTGTGAAGTTACAGAAAAAAAAATATTCTAGAGAAAAATTTTTAAAAATTCCAAATTTGTAGAATTTAAAATTTTTAAAAATCGTCAAAATTGATAATCAACATTGGATTCTTGGCTCATTTTTTTTCATTATATAATACCTCTGACTGATCTGAACAGATCTTGAAATTTTCATTAGTGTGTTTTTTTTAAACATGAATTTTTTAATTTCGGTCAAAGAACAAGTTATTTTTTTGTCATCTTCCTACTAAGTAAAACGTATTTAGTGTGTGTGGTTACGAAATATTTCACTTTTTATGAAATTTCTAAAATCTATCTATTAGAACTTTTAAAAAGAATTGAAGTACACAATGACGCACACCAAGTACGTTTCCAAATTGTTTCTTTTAATTTTTAAATTTACAACAAAATTTTTTTTAATTTCCGAAAATCATATACAACCATATCGGTTACTTGGATTTTTTATTTTATATCTTTTTGTAAAGAATTAAAAATAGTCTTATGAACGTGGACTTGGCGCGATTTTTTTACAGTGAAACTGTTTTTGTTCGGATTTCAGTATTTTTTGTAATTTTATAATTATTATTAAAAATTGACAATTTTAATTTAATACATTTCCGGTGGCAAACTATCCCCTTTAAGCTATAGTTCATGTAAAAGTTATTCTTGCGCCGCCTGGCGCGTGTAATTGCAAGCTGTCAAATATCTTTTTTCACTGTAGTTTCCCATCTATTATAAGATTAGCATGCATCCTTATATTATTTAGTCTCTGGCCGTCCGCTTTTTACATAAGAAAAAAGTTAAAATCTAAAAATCTGAGTCGTTATAGTTTGTGCTGATTATTTTTAACAATTTTAAATAGAAATTATAAAGATAATTGACAATAATCAAGTAATACGCGTAATAAAAAGCATGAACTACTATTATAAAATATCATATAAAAAAAATCAAAATAAATTAGAAAAAAAATTTGTAACCTCAAAAAACTGTTCTGTTTACGGTATATACACACTCGGTAGTCTGGCTTGAGAACGGAACTTGGCGCCAGATTCTACCGAATCTGTGGATACCATAAAATGCAGCGTGTTTCGGAGAAGGTTTTAGTATATGATATGTTGGTGATTACTTACTCGAAACCTATATTTCCTTGATTTAGATATAATGAAATTTTTATTGTAACTAAATTTATTCTATTCGATTGTCATTTGCTTAATATAAATTTTTTAATTCTATTGGTTATGTTTATATACTGGGCAGATTTCTTCACTTATGAGACATGCAATTTCTTTAACTGAAACTTTCAATGCTCATTACAAATTTTTTTTTTCATATCAATTATTATTCATTTTTGTAAGAAAGACACGGGAATATTATAATGATTGCACATTGAAAATTACAATGAATATTAGCTAGAATAATTACATGGGCAAAAGGTGCATGCTAATTCCCAATAGAATTGGGAATCTGTCCTAGTCAAAACAATACTCTAATTAAATTTCAAGTCTAGATCTAAAAATGCAATTCTACAGCTAGTCACTAGTCACATAAAATAATTCAATGATAGATCCAACGTAATTCACATAGAATATCGCATTACAGATGGAACAAATATATATAATTAAAATTAATCAATTACCCCTTATTTTTTTTTTATTTTTCAACTCCCAAATGCATAAATTTGAAATGAGTAGTGTCGTTTCGTTGGTGAATTAAATTTTTTCATTGTGTATTACACGACATACTCCTACTATATACAACTGTGTGTTATGTATATATACATATGCAACATGCAATCCGGTCGATCAACGGTATCAAGTTTTGGCAAAGGCCAACAAAGAACCCAAGACCTTAACTCCTTAACTTTTTTTTATACAGACCATTCATAATCATTAGCGCTATATGGTCCTGTCGACCATGGTGACTTATTATGTCACTCATGTCCATTCATTATAGGTTTTATATATATACAACAAATACAATTGAGAAAAATAATAAAAGGTACCTTAAATAAATTTCATTTAATTTTTAATTATAATTATTAATCTTTCCGGCTTAATGATAAATTATTGTAATTTATTATCATTATTTTTTTAGGTTCATTATTTATTTTTTATAATCAAGAGACAGTAGTATGTTGTACTGAGTCTGCATCACCGGGTGATATAGCAAGGAACTACCGTGTCTCTTTTGTATCGTGCCAATTTCTTTATATTTATGTCATATGTTGAGAAAAAAAGTGTATAATATAAGTTCAAGAAAAATTAAGGAAAACTGCTATTTTTTTTTTGACGCAATCAATCGTACTTAAACACGAGCCGTATTTTCAATCCATTCAAACAAATGGAAAGCGATGAGGATTATCAAAATTTTTCATAAGATCCAGTCAGGATTATTGTAAATTTTCAATTATTGTAACAATAAATAAAAAAATTATCCGATCATGAATAATAAAATTTGAAAGAATTACGTGTCAAAAGATCAATGAAAGTTATATGCAATTCATTTCATTTATTATCGCGAGTAACTCTTCTACTTGAATATTAATGATTAAAAATACTTACCAATAAAACTTATAGATTTTTAACATTGATAGGAGCCGTGAAATATTCAAAGATGAGTTAAATAATAGATGCATCGAATAGAACTATTGTATAGTACTTATTATAATTACTCGATCTCCCACTTTGGTTAAGAAAACGTTAGACTACCTGGCGCCACCTATTGGCTGTCGCAGAACTATGAAGTGTAAATAAAATTTGTTTTACAAAATTAGCGCTTGTGTCATACGTAAATTAATAAAAGTAAAGTTTAAATATACAAGTTCTCACTGTAATAACCTTAATCATATTTAAAACTTTTTAGTAATTTTATTAAATAGAAGAAATTAATATAAGTAATTTGAGTCCAAAAATGAATGCTTAATTAAAATAATTAATATTGAACATAAAATATATTTGGTCACCTATTTATAACAATCAAATATCCAATATCGAAAAAGTCCAACGCAAATTTCTTAACCAGCGCCAACGTACTACACTGAAAAAAAAATTAACTTGATTCGAGAGAAAAATTTTTGAACCAAAAAAATAATTTTAAAAAAGGTAATTGTCTTGAATCAAAACGAAAAATTTTTGAATAAAGTAAAATTTACTTAAACCAAGTAAAAATTTCTTAGTATGAGAATTCTTTTACTCAAATCAAGAAGATGAAGTTCTTTAAAATTACATACTTGATTCAAGAACATTTTTTTTGTGCAGCGTTTCTGTTGGTATCTCTTAGATAAATCTTTTAGTCATCTGTCTATTTTTTCACTACTTAGTGATTTTTATTATTCACTATTATATAGTTTAGATTATATTCCAGACTTACTGTATAAATTTTAATTTTATTAATTTTAATTACAACATATTATAATTTTCACTTGTACTTCACCTTTAGTTACTAACGTGTACTCTGTATAATTTGTTTTGTGACCCTGTTATTGGCCTTCTAGCTGTTGGGTCTAGTTATAATGAAATAAATAAATAAATAAATATGAAATTTAATAACTCAGTATAATAAAAATTACTTAGTGTCAATTAAAAAAAAAAAATAGTCCAATTTTTTTTCTCTAACTGGTATTTTTATTAACTAAAAATTTGGACATTGATTTGCAAATTATAGCAATTTATAACAGGAAATTATACTTCCATTATCGTGAGTAAACGCTCAAATATTTGCAAATGTGAATTTTTTATGCTAAACATTCAACCTGATAGACCATTTATATTAAAATTTAATTGAAGTTTCCTTTTTACGGTAAATTGACATGAAAAAAAGAAAAAAAAATTTGTAATTTTAAATTTAAAAACGCTTGAAAAAATTGAATGTATTTTAATGTTCTCACGTAAACACCTACACAGTACGGTGCGAGTACTTGGCGCGATTGAGGCACACAGTCTGATGGTCGTAAGTCGTCTGCATCGTGCATAAACCAATCGTGAAGAAAAGAGAACGCGCTATACAACTACAACGGGGTATCCATTTCACGAGCGATGGAGACATCGCGAGGTACCTCGTTCGATTTCAAACCGTATGCTAATTTTCATGTACGAGTTTATACTGTGTGAGACAGAGGCTTGGTCTTAAAATGTTCTCTGTTTGCTGCAGAAAGACACTTAAGTGAGGAAATAACAATCTAGCACTTTTGTCGTTGAACTAACTCTTTTTCCTTGCAATCTAATGTCTGAGGTCTATCCATCAAATAATTTTTATAATTATAAATTTTATCTCATTAATGCAGAATGCCGTTTAAGTGTCATTTGTCAGTATGAATTTAAAATATACACCTTGCTCATAAAAGAAATAAGTAAATTATGGTTTTTCACCTGCGCAGACTGCTGGCGCGTCGCCCGCATTTCTTACTGAATTTTTTAAAAATTTATTTTAACCTGTTCGATTATCTTCTTCCGATCAGAAGAAAAAATTATTCGTTTGTAAAAAGAAAATCTAAAAAAAAAAAAAAAAAAGAAAATTGAGTCAAATTAACAAATTATATTAATGAATACAATTCAAAGAAAGAAATTAAAACAAGCGCCCTCATACTTCCGGTCTGGTAGTAGGTCGAGTCACCGTTAGTAGGTATCCCCTTACAAAGTAGCAGGCGTACCAACGTTAAATTGTAGGCGTATAAAAATTCTAAAGACATAAGAAAGTGACAGCAATAAACAATAAACCACCTCGGGTATGTTTTTGGCGAACAAACAAAAAATTTATAATAAAATCACCGCATAAATTCGTTTAATGTCGAAATAAAGAATATGTCACTTTTAAAGTTTTTTTTTTTCGCCTTATTCAGTCGGTGATTAATTTTAGTTTTATGTAAGCGAATGAGATTTTCTTAAATATTTATCGTTGTTTGTGTAAGTCATTACGCACATTTAATTTGTACTACAAAAAATAAAAGTTGGGAAAAAATAATGATAAATTCTTTTCAATTACAATGTCTGGTGTCCGTCTGAAAGATTTACAAGGTGGTTAGAGAAATCAATAAATTTTTATTGATAACTTTCGATTTTTTTATTTTTTTTTTTTTGTGAATTATTACTTCAAAAAACTCCAAATTTATAAAAAGTTTTTTTTATGTAAAAAAAATATTCAACACACACGATCTTCTTCAAGGAATTAAGTGGAGTTAAAAAAATTCACCTTGTTCTTGTGGTCACATATTACTGCCGCCCTCTGTGAAAATGATTGAAAAACAGATAACCGGACTATTCACTCAACAAAAGGGCCCGTATTTAGAAGGATATAAAACATATCTAAAAGAAAGAAATTATCATGAGAACACTCGTCGAATTATATAATTTATAATTGAGCTAGCAACAAGAAAATCATAAAGCTTATATTTTCGAAACTAAGCATATTAGCTATAAAAACGTTAAGATTAATTTTGTTTGTTATTATAAAAAAGACTTAACAATTTTAACAACTCACGCTTTCAGTCAACAATAATCTACTCAACCCTGAAAAAACGTTCCGAAAGAATATTTTCCGAGCTCCTCCCATAAAACACGAGGGCTAAAGCCGCAAAAGGGATAGAAATAAAGCGTAGCTCGAAGCCAATATCGATAAGTTAGGCCGTGCGCTTAGCAAAAAACATTAAGAAAGTAAATACTTGTGTGAGTTTGCAAGAGCTTACCCTCACAAGCCCTCTTACAAATGTACTGCGGCATTACACTGTATAAATATGTTAGTTTTTTCATACAACATATACCTTTCCAATTTATTCGCATTCTCGTTACGCGTTTGTTCCTCCCCCACGTACTAAAACAGCGTTAAAGTATTACCCAGAAGATACTCTCAATACCTACTATACAACTATGCTACCTTCTATCTTTTACATACTCTCAATAGCAATGGCTGAGCAAAAACACTTGGGGATGAAACTTACGAGATATTTTAAGATTTTATCTCGATCTTATCTTCGTAGCGTTAGCTTGTACATTTTTTCTAGTAAATTAAATGGGTCTACAGAGTTTGAATTTTACGATTGCCTTAAGAATTTTTCTACTTAACGATAAAAATAATAAAGCTTTACTTACTTGCATGTGTAAATCCTCATTTCAAATATCATCACTGTCATTGTGATTATAGGTATTCGGGATGTTATTGGGCAGATGACTCTGACTGACCTTACAACTAGGATGATGATGGTTTTGCAGGTGAATGTTATTCATTTCAATCAGTTCCATAGCTTTCAGTTGATTATTTCTAGATTCACTGAACGCAGCTGCATGCTCTGCCGAAATAGGAACCACATTTTTATCCGTTCTCTTATTATATTTGCTGTTGCCTCGCTCCATCATCCAACGGAGTCAAGTTTTCTTCGGTCTTTGCATGAATAATATAGTCGGTAAATATTTCAAAAAAACTAGACGCATCCAGGACGGCATTCGGTGAGTCTTTGGTCCACGAAAATTCCAGTTGATGACTATCACAGTCATTGAAATAACGAACAGGTTCATCAAAAATATGAATAATAGGTATTTGGCAATTAACGGAAGCACTAATGATGTTGGCGGTAAAATTTTACTGACTAATAATAAGAACAAAACAAGCGATAAGAGTATACTAATGCCCAAAGTGACTTTTTCACCAGCTTCCGCTGGTAAATAAAACTCTCCAATAACCAAAAATGATACCATTATAATTGGCACTATCAAATTAACTGTGTAGAACAACGTTTTCCGGCGAATCGTTATGTAAAATGTGATGTCAGTTTCTGTTGGAGCATTGGGTTCTGAATATACATTCAAATATGCTGGCAATTCAATGATATCCCAGGTACCACTTTTGCTGTAGTCTGATAGTGATACGTAATTTTTATCGTCTAATAATCCCAGTGAGACTTGATCACCGTTATAAATCCATGAGCCAAATTTCATTAAGCATGTTTGTTGATCAAAAGGAAAATAAGTAACATCTATTGTGCATGAACTTTGATAAAGAGCTGGCGGTACCCATTGTATATTTCCATCTGCAAATATGATGATATTGCTTTTGTAACGTACTTCATACTTCCCATCGGCACTGCAATCAAAAATTGTTAGAATACGTATAATAATTTAGTGTGAATTCTGATATTGATTACATCATCTTCGTAACATTAGTAATGATTAACAAACTGCAGAAATTTATTTATAAATTGAAAAATTACTTATTGAAAAGAACGATATCAGGTTTCCAAATCTTGTCGGATGGTATTCTTAATTTTTGTATTCCTTGGTAGTCACTGGGATCCCATTGTAACTGATAGTCGTGCCAATGAAGTTCCAACCAGACATTGGATTTCATCACGTGATTTTTTTCATCCTAAAAAAAATTTTCATTCTGGAAGAATTAAGTTATAGACAAATATTTACTTGAGTAGTTTTTAACTATAGTGTCACGTGATTATAATTATCTAATAATCTCAGTGATACCTACTTACCGTTGACTATTGCAAATTACCTAATTAGTTATCTGTTTACGGTAACATTTATTTTCAATAACATCAAAAATTATTATCTGCAACGAACAAATAAATTAAAAGATAATAAATCATTAAACAATATAATTATAAGCATATAACGTCTGCTCATAACAAGCAAGATGAAGAAGAAAAAGACATGGAGTAAAAAACACAAACGATTGATTAATTGAAGTGGATACAAAGCAATAATAAAAAAAGAATAAAAGGATGATAATTATTATGATTATAACAATGATACGTAGCCTGTTAAAAATACTTGTGGCAATAAGTGTTGAATGATCAAATTCACGAGCGCACGTGCGATTGAGTTGAGTGGACATGATGCGCCTCATAACCAAGAATAGCATCAGCATATCAACTCTAAGAAGGCAGTGATAGTGCAAGAATTAACCTTAAGATAAATAAAAGTAATAACCGAGTAGGTGAGTCGATGCGCCAGTGCTCGAAGGACAGAGAAAGAAAATGAGTTTGATGATGGAGAAGAGGGAATTAAAAATAGAGATAAAAAATATCAAGTGAGGAAAAAACATTAAAAATAAAGAAGGGAGAGAAATGCTGATGGGATTATAAGTAATGCGTTGCAGCACGTGGCCTCAGTGGTACACCACCTTCAACTCGTCAAACCTGTTTGGCACACTGCTCATGCAAGAGTGCGGGTGCAACAGCCCAAAGTACCACCAGATCGATTTTAATGTTAGCCTTGATAGAATCAAAATTGAAATTCTGTATTTGCATTTATAATGTGTAATTTACAATTATTAATTCTGGCTTTTGATGAATATTTTATTTATTTATGAGAAGAATAAAAGTGAGAAGTTATCAATTACTTGAGGGTACCCATCAATCTGTTGTTTTTGATATGATTTATCAAGACATAGGATCGATATGACGTGTGCTAAATGGGAGTATGTCTCTAATGATTCGATGACTAACTCGTTCTAGATGGAGATAAAGACGCAAGTAGATTAATATAAAACAATAGGTAGATCAGATGATCAATGGCCAGAGCAAATGAACTAGACTTATGATGAGTTGTAGTCTGAAGCAGAAAGTGTCAATGTCGAGTAAATGAGAGTTGTTGTGAGTTCATTGGGCCAGATAATGAATTAGCCGGATCTTGATGAGGGAAGAGGAGGACAATGAAGACGAGACAATTGATGAGTTAATTGGGTTAATGCAGAGCTCTTGATGCTCGAATGATTTCAGTAGCTTTGTTGATCGACGAGTCGCTCGAAGTGTTTTTGAGAATTGGTGTAGCGACGGGTGGTGATTGGTTCACATTAACGTGTGCCATGTGCTGGTAAGGCCTGGTTGTAGTTTAGCGTCCTGATTGCACGTATCAGTTACAGAAATCATAACATATTTACCCAGATATATCTCTGGTTTGAGTAAAGGAGAGTAATGTACGTTGATTTGTAGAAAAATGAGGCGAGGTGAATCGATTCCATGTTTGTTTTTTTGCTTGGTTCTACAACAACTAGATAAAACTCCACCCTCTCACTCTCTGCAACGTTGAGGAGCGTATATCCGATAGATCTTGAGACAGTGGATACAAGCCGCGTCACTCTGTAGGAAGAGTCGTGACGACTAGAACACACTATCTTTTTCTCTCCTTCTCTCTATCTCTATCCAGCACTCTGGTTGTCTTTCTTTCGAGCGTTGTTGGATGTGGATATATAGATCGTGGAAAAGCGAGATATTATGCCGCAATGTGATTTACCGAAAGGATCATTTGACTTATAACTTTCATATGTACTGTTAGCAGTGTAACGATAACCAGACCGCATTTTAAACGCAATTGTCGAGTTAACGTCCTGTTGGACCTGCACACTCACGTCAAATTGACCTACATCATCGACAACAACAATCCATAAATACATAAAACAGTATCTCATTTACCAATCTCCATCAAATACTCGGCTATCATTTGGAATTTTCGCATTACGCCAACAACAATCATTCATACTTATTTGTTTCTCCACTACGAAATCATGAAAATTTAAAATCAATCGTTGTCTGCCAAGTAAACATACTTGCATTTTATTTCTTAAAAAATTGTGCTAATCTGTCTTATACTCATAACAATTCGATATTTCTTACTTTTACCAACAATGATCTTTGATCAGAATCAATGTTATCGATAGCATTTGGATTACATTTTCCATCACACAATCGACATAATTTCGTTTATTGAAGATAGCATCGCCCATAAAAGCTTGACAATGAAGTTTAATTATTGAATAACGACAAGATAAATCAAAGTTCAAATTTTCATATACTGGCTAGCTAACGTAAATTTTTTGCATCATCATCACAACAACGTATTCGCAGATATGTATCCGCATTTGCAAATATTATGCATGCAAGCATGTATTGAGTATTGGATACACGGAGAAAACGATTTTCGGGTGGATCTCGTCCTCGAAAGCTGTAAAGTGGGACCCAGAAGTGATTTACAACCTTGGATGAATCATGCACGCCCGTAAGAAGGCCCAGGACAGCCATGTGTCGATGCCGGAGATTACGAAGATCCGTACCTGATACGAAACTGCTCAGCCAATTCTTTGGTGTGTAGGTGTACGTAGTATGTGGGTGCGTATGTACCAGCATCACGGTCCACTAAGCGAAGGTGGATCGAGAGCCCGTTTGTTCGTTGCTTACTTTTTTATTTTTTAATTCCTCCGTATTATTATTAATAACAATATTTAAAAGTTATTTATTTTCAGGTTTATCATGTGTTTGCGGTTGGATTTTTCCGCAATAATTGTTTGGGATATGAAATTGATTGTCGATATTATTCACCCATAATGAACCGAATTCTGATGATTAATAAACAAAAATCAAATGAATAAAAATTGATTTTTTAGCCAGTCAGTGTACATATTGTATGGAAGAGCCAATTGGAGAAAGCAGTGTGTGTATTCATGTGAAAGCCGGCATCACATCATCCGAACACTCGATATATTGTACGTGTACCAGAAAGGACTCCCGCGCAGCCTAATGATCTTCGAGACGTCCGATTGCAGACAACAATCGATCCTCGTCATACATATATGTACTCTGTAGTACCCACGTATACTTCCGCCTTACTCAATTAGCTTAACACATGAAGCTAACACGTGAAGTCAATACAATATAATTAATATACCTAATGCTACTTTAAAGGTTATAGATTTAAACCTTTTGCGATTGAAGGTGAAAAATCCAAAAGTCCAAGCCTCATAAGGCTTATTTATTATTATTTTTCTCATATAAATTTTTTAGTTCAAAAGAAGTTTTATAGATTTGTGAATAACAATTTTGGATGACAATTCGCAAGTTTTTTCTAAAATTGTTCTTTTAGCTAAGAAATAAAATTGTTGAAAATTTTCAACAAATTAATTTTTTATTCCAAAATTGCCGACTTTTTTCAAAAGAAATTTTTTCTCTCACTACATAATTGATTGTTAAAAAAAATAAAAGTTATTAATTTATTTTTTAGAGTATTTTATGATTTTTTTTAAATTGTTGGCGCACATTTTTCGCGCATAGTTAAAAAAAATCTAGTAATAATATGATTGCTTAATATTATTTTAACAGAATTAAGCGGCACCATAGTATTCATATGAGAGAAATAAGAAAAGTTCTTTTGTTCTAATACTTTTAAACAGTTTAATTTCTCTATTTTTTATAATTCATCTTACAAATCTAGATTGAAAATTATTCAAATAATTTAATAATAACAAATTACATCTTATTGATTAATAATTAATAATTTAAAAGATGAATAATTATTTGTAAGTATATATTTAATTATTATTTTTCATTTTGACAAACTGATATAATCACGTATGAGCATTGGGGACGTCAATAATTGATTAATTTAATTTTTTAGCCCATCAATAATTTATTTTTATAGATTATTAAATTACAGGTCATATCCAACACGAATTTGTGACATCAATAATTTCTGTTTCGTTAATATACTCAGCAATTTTTTCTTTCAAAGAAAGTAAATCAGCGTCCGGTAATCTTTTCGTCCTTGACCATACCATTCCAAAGGAGCCTCTGTACATGGTAGGATTATGATCAGTGCACATGATCATAGCACAATAATTGTTGGTGTCCATTGCCAGCATCTTTTGAAAAAATGGACCTATCAGACAGAATCATTCGACATTAACAATAGTTAAAATTTTACAGTTAGTATTGTTCTGAGAAATATACACAGAACCATAAAAATTGTCGAATCAACAATTACCGAATATATTTGGCGAACCATTCATTTGCCAGAACTCGCTTAGTTCGTTTTCAGTTTTTTGTCCGACTACGCTCCAAGAAACAGTTCGTGAATTCGAAAATTTAGCGGATGTAAAGTTCATCTTAAACGAATTTGATCCGTTGACAATGACATCAAAGTAGATGCATTTGCTTACTGTTTGTCTTACTGGTGAAGCAGCTGCAACATACCATCTACCAGCAAGCTGTAAGAAAAGAGCAATTATTTTTATAAATTAACCGAAACAATTGCTTAGTTCTTAATAAGTGGTATATTGCACACCTCATAACGCGAAAGCATTTGAGATATAGTACTCTATTCTCATTACGTCAAGATGAAGTAATTTTCTGGTCTTAAAATGCTTTCATCACAACCATAATGCATTTATAGGATATGAGTAGACGAAAGTAAAAAAAAACACTCTAAATAATTAATCTTATATTTTCTAAAAAATTATTGAATGAGCGTTATGAGGCGTGCACTTTAAAATTTTTCCAACTTTTAGTTTCAATTTTTACTTCGTTAACATCGATATTTTTAACATTGCTGTCACACGAAGTAGGACATCTGCCTGAGCATAATTGCAAGTACAGTAAAATTAGGCCGATCGACGTTAATTGAAAACTTCTTCCGATCATTTAAGAAAAACGGATCAAAAGTCAACGCTATTGAAGTTAATTTGTTGTAATTAAGAACACTTGCTTTTATTAATCGTCACAGACACTTTGTTAGAACAACGAATGCTGAACAATACTGAAAAATAAATAGTAAAGCCGACACGGTGGGGTTTTACGTCGGATTTACCAAAAATTTATCGATAAGTGACTGTCATTAGTTGAATTATATATACGTAAAATGCTAAAGAATATGTATACAAAAAATTCCCATGTTGAGCCGATAGCAGTGTACTATAATTTTTATTTGTCTGATAATTTTAAGTGTAGCGGGAAATTTTTTTTTTTTTAAGTAAAGAAATCCTATTAATAATCAATATATTTGTCAATTGAATTTGTGAGGGGTTCTTTCATAAAATAGGAAAAAACATAATTATAATTAGTAATGGATAGTTAGTTTCAATTGACATACTTTAACTTACAGTGATTCATCAATCAAAATATTTGGGATTTTTATAATTCTAAACTTCGAATGTCGTGTTAATGACAAGCCTGGGGCATAGTTGTTAATATATAGTTTAACGTCGATTTTGTTGCACTAATTATCCCGGGTCAAAAAATTTAGTCTGTTTTATGATTAATAAAATTTTTTAATATTTTTCATTCAATTTAATTTTATTATGTGTATCTATTTTATATGAGAATTTAATCTGTTTTTGCCCGTACTATTCACAATTCAGACCAATTTCAGATCATTTTTAATGTTATAATAAAATTGTTTTCTATTGTTTCAAGACCAAAATCAGACTTTATAACGTTCTATAATTTTTAGTCGGTTTTTCATCGCCTGTAGATTAAAAACCGACCTTTTACGAATTTGATAATAATAATAATAATATTAATAATAATAATGTATTTATTTATTATTATTTTATTCATGTCCTCGAAGATCCTCTACAGGGCACGGCTTTTCATTCTCTGAAACTGAAATAGTGACGATTCACTATTTCGTAGTGCAATGTATACCAAACGGTATTCTTCGCACTACCAAATAGTGAATACCGCTCATTAAATGATGCGTGAAAATATAAAATTTAACATTAATCTTGTCAACATTTTAATCTTGTCTTGATGTATTCACATTGTGTTTATTAACGATAATTAGAAAATTCTAGATTTAGATCCATAATCAAACGATGAGAACTATTTTATAAACGTATATTAATACAAATTTATTAGTTATCACTGCAACTAATATTCGCAGTTACAAAACTTTTATAATCCATGAAATGTTGAGCTATGACAAATAAATATGATAGATGTAAGGTTATAATCGACGTTCAGCTCATAAAACAAGAGAGCGCAAGAATATATTATAAATTAATTTATTTTTTCAAATAAATGCGACTTATAATTTTTAATAAGATACTTTTAAGTCCAAAAAATTATGTCACCATCTTAGTCGACTTTTGGCCTTTGAACATTTAGAGTGAAAATTGTAGATCAAAAACAATATAAGATTTCATATTGAATTTGAAAACAATACATAAAGTCCATCTACAAATTAACTAGACTAAAAACCGATCAAACTTTTAAAACTTTTTAGTTTTATTAGATTAGAAACAGCATAAAATATTCATAGCTGCTCAATTATTTGACTAAAAAGTTATTTAGACTTAAAACAGATCAAAAATAATGTGAATAGTAGATCAAATACAGATGAAAATGTTTTTAAAAGTTCAAATACAGATCAATAAGTTCAAATGCAGATCATTTAGCTTAAAATCAGTTTAAATTTTTCGACCCGGGTACTACAATTTATTATTTAACGACAATATTAAGCTGATCTTTCAAAAAAGGTTATTTTAGAAAAATTTTTGAGAGACAACTATTGCAGCGATTATTCTGAAATTGGCAGACCATATTTATTCATACGTCAGGTTAACAAATTTTTTCAAATGACAATCTTCAATATTCTCATAATAGTTATTAAATATCTCCGTATGCTTCAAAACAAAAAATTTTCCCATTACTGCAACTATTACAGCTTTCACAAAACCCAACATAAAAAAAAAATGTTTGTTCAACTAGAAATTATTTCTCATACAATGACTGAGAATAGAAAAAAATTAAAATAAAAAAGGCGAAAGTGTCATCATTTTTCTGCACGTCAAAATTACAATTTTTGTCAAATCAAAAAAAAATAGAGGGTCATTGTATCAAAAACTAAATACTGAAAGAAACGAAAAAAAATTAAATTGATAACGTGGCTTATTATTGAGTTAGAATTACAGCAATTTTGAAAAATATTAATTGGACTTGTTTTGACAGTAAGATAGCTACGCTGCAATGTAAAAAAAAAATGATTAATGAACAAAATCACGACATTCTAAAGTCAATTAATTGAAAAATGTCATATAAAATAATCAGCGATACTTAAAGCGTGAATGTTGTAATAATATCATAGAGGTTGTTAACACTATAGCTCTAAAAAACAAAAAAAATATTGTGTAGTTTTATGAAACCACGATGCAAGTGAAACTTTTTTCGGGTTGTTGACATTTAAGTAAAAATTTTCGGAAAATTAGTTATTTAGGGTATAAAAATCGCGTTTTTAATCCTAACTTGATAATTGGTAAATGAAGAGACAGCCCAGGGCATGTTGCCGTGATTGTCCTTACAGTTATTACCGGATTTTAACGAAATTTAGTACGCATGTTTCTCAGACGATTATCTTAAATAAGTTCAAAGATATAAGCTATGTTGGTTAATAAGTTTTGAAATAATAACCATTTGAATTTTTCTAAAGATAGTGAAAATTGAATTTTCTGTCTTTTTATTTCTAAAGAACATTTAGTTGAAATAATACAACTTATTTCTTGAAAATTTATCTTAAGGCTGATAAAATTGCGTCTTTGATTTGATCTATAAAATATTTACCGAATGAAGATTTTATTGAGATTAAGAATTTCAATTTCTGCCAGTTTTTGGTAGACGGGTTATATTAGTTCGTGTAATAAAATTAACGGTGGTTTGATTAAAAATTAATTGTGACTTTTCACTGATTATTTAAGAATTTATTGTTTGATATAATTTTTTTAATTATTAATTATATCGAAACTTACCTTCCAATTCAATTATTCTATCAATAAATTTATTTTCGCCATGAGTCTCGCAGTTTATAAATGTAACTAATATTTCATAGTAACGAAAATAAACCCTGATTAAACAAAAGTAATAAAAAGTATTTAAAACATTGAACTTTCAATATTTAAAATTTTTTTCCAATCAATCTAAGGAAACAATAAAACCTGGAAAAAATTAGAATTTTGAAAAAATTCAAAATTAAAAACAAATTAACTTCCAGAAAAAAATTATTTTTGTTCAATAAAGAAAAAATTTTTGTTTAGTAATCTGAATTTAAAAAAAAATTAAATTACAAAAAAAGGTTTTCGAAAAAATTTGAATTAAAAAAAAAAATTTTTTTTAGATTTGTATAAAAAATTTTTTTTACTCGAATTTTGACAGAAATTAGAAAACGATTGATAAATTGTAATTTCCAAAATCTCTAAATGCGAAATTTCGTGATGTTTAAATGAGTCAAAACAATTTTTGTTTTATTTTTATGCAATAAAAGAAATTAAAAATTTACACCACGTAGAATTTACATCTACTCCGAAAATTTTTTACAGCGTAAAAAATTTTATGTAACAAAAATTATCAGACATCCGAAAATTATTAGGCTTATTGTAAACAAACTAATTATAAAAAAATTAAAAGAAAAATATCTATGTATAGAATTAAAAAAATTCAACATATAATTTTTCAAAGTAATTTTTTTATTTCTCATTCAATCTTCGAAAAATAGAAAAAAATGGTGTGTACAGATAAATCCGCTTAAAAAGAACCATCTCTAAAAAATAAATAAAAAAAAAGTATTGTACCTGTCAGTATGTTTTGGCAAGTTCCTGACCGCGGCACCTGGCGTCGAGTCCTTGAAACATGTAAAGGACTACCACTTCTTCCGGATGTCAGGGACCCCTACTTGTGTATGTTGAGATTCTCCCCCGCAAGTCACCGATCATTGACTCGCACTGGCGTAGTCTTGAGTAAATCCTTTTTCTGAGATAATATTAACAATTTTTTCTTTTTGCATATTTAATGTTATGATTATATTACGCAGAATATATTAAGTATTTATAAATTATTTTTAAAGTGATTTCAAGAGTTAGTAAGAGCAAATAATTTGTAATTATAATCAGGTATTAGATAATCATCGTCGTGATTTAAGATGATATATGATATTGATCATAGATCGGCGATTACAATCTCTCGGCTACTGAGGTTGCTCTTGCTCTTTTATGATACAAGATTTATACAAATACATACGTATTATAAGCTCGTGGAACATAAGGTGGCAATTCTTGAGGAATAATGACTCTATAAAACGTTTTAAAATTTATTTAAAATCAATATATTAAGTTGAGTGAATAACTTAATACAGTTTTATTTTTTTACTTGAATATGAATTATGTGAATATTTATGAGTAATGATTTTTAGATGATAATTTTTAATTTTATTAAAAAAACAAGTTAGATTCTAATATTAATTACGGGGTACTGTCTTAATAACAATCTAAATGCTATAATTTGATTTTATTTTTAAATTAATGTTATTTTTTTCAAAAAATCTAACTCATTTTAAAAAAGTTTTTTAGATTTCGGAAAAAACAATTTTAAATGAAAATTCGCAAGTTGTTTATTTAAAATTACTTTTTTTTTTTCGAATCAAAAAAAGTTTTTAAAGTGAAATTTTTTTTCTATCACCCCAAAATTTTCGGTAATAAGGCTATTTGGACACGGTGAGAAGATTCAGCGTGAGGCTAGCGTGAATATTAGAAATTTCTTGCCATGCTATTGATTCAAAAAATCTTATATTCACGCTAAACTCATGCCACAGTGTCCGAATAGTCTCAGCCCAAAATTTTTCATTCATCTATCGCATGTCGCATTATAGCTGGTCACAGAGTAGGGATAAAGTGAAAAAAAATTTGAAATATTGAAAGTTCAATCCTTTTAAGGATTTATACTTTTTTAACCTTTTGTTTAATAATCAGGGCTTATTTTCGTTACTATGAAATATTAGTTACACTTATAAACTGCGAGACTCATGGCGAAAATAAATTTATTGATAGAATAATTGAATTGGAAGGTAAATTTCGATATAATTAATAGTTAAAAAAATTATATCAAACAATAAATTCTTAATTAATCAGTGAAAAATCACAATACATTTTTAATCAAACCACCGTTAGTTTTATTACACGGACTAAAATATAATCCGTCTACCAAAAACTGGCAGAAATTGAAATTCTTAATCTCAATAAAATCTTCATTCGGTAAATATTTTAGAGATCAAATGAAAAATGCAATTTTATTTTAGCCTTAAGATAAATTCAAATGGCTGTTATTTGTAAACTTATTAACCGATTTAGCTTATATCTTTGAACTTATTTAAGATAATCGTCTGAGAAACATGTGTACTAAATTTATAATAATAATAATATTTATTGTTTGTTAGCTTTGCTATTTACAATTTACAATATATATATATATATATATATATATATATATACATACATATATAAACTTTTGAACAATATGTATTTTCTGACTCAACTCGTCGAGTTAAGTCGAAATATAGCAAAATTTTTCAAAAGTTTCGTCATGAGGACCATTGCAATAGTTAGATTTCTATGAAATCTACTAAAAATTAAAAAATTACCTCCTTAGCGATTTTAATTTGCATTGAAATGGAATTAAGCTGGAACAAAATTTTTCATGTTTTATAAAATAATATTGTAATTTATCAATGAGATTAATAAAGAGTACGAAGAAGTGATCAATACTTATTATTGCTAAAATAAGCCATATTATGAAATACAATTAATGCCTCATATCTTTATAAATATTAATCATGAAATAATTTACATATTATAAACGGTGTCAGACGTAATGCCTTTAAGTTGTTCTGGACGTTGGAAGCTCAAGTGTCGGAATAATTTTACGATTGTATTTGTAGTGTTTAGATTATAAGGGAGGATGTAAGGGTTACAAAAGTACGTGACATTATAATGTATTTTATAAGTAACCGCATATGCAAGTACCTACACCACAGAGACCCAGAGTGTGTATAAAAGACGGACATAACATCGAGAACGTAAATTGCCATGGATTATTGTCGTTTTATGTTCACGAGTCGTAGCGATCATGAGCTCAAGCTGCTTATTGTCTGGCACTTGCTTGCTTTTTCTTTTGAGGTGGTCTCTTATCTTAAGTAGTTACTTTAAATAATATTTTATAAACTACATTGTTTCTGCAGTTCAAAAAAATTATATAATATTTATGAGACTTTAAAATGTTTGTATTTTTAATGTTATCTGCACAGAAAAAATGGTTGATTTGAACGAAGAACATTTTTGTCTTCAAAAATTTACTTTTGCATTATTAAACTTATTATTTTTAATTCAAGAAATTAAAAGAAAATTAATATTGTTAAAGAATTTGGATGGAGAATATGAATTTTTTTATTCGAAAACAATTTTTTTTTTAAATTAAGGTAAAATCTTTTTCATCTAAAACTATAAGATTTAATTGAGTTAAAAAATGGTATTTACAACTCAAGAATCAATATTCAACTCAAAAGCGTCAATGTTCTTAGCTTTAGAAAATTAATTTTTGAAGTGAAACTTCTTTGTCGACGTATGAGAGAAATTTTATAGCAATGTAAAATAAAAGTTTGAAAAATCCAAAAGTGCACGACTCATAATGCTCATTTAATTATGAAATATTAAAAAAAAAAAAAAAAAACGTTCAAAATTAATTGTCGAAAAAACAGCTGTACAGGAAAATACTGTACAAGCGCCCCTGGTGGAATAAATGTACATAATATCTATAGATATAGATATATCACCATCCATATTAATTTTACATGGATATATATAGATATACAGTCTTGTAGTTTTCGTTTTTTATTAATTGTAATTAAACGACACTGAATTAATTAGCCATTCGCATTCGGTGACCTACAATTGTCGATTAGAATTTTTAAAAAAAAAATTTAACTCAAATAATTGATTTTTTCACAAGTTACAGTGTTTCTGGAGTTTCATACATGACGGACAGGAAAATTTTTTGACCTATTTTGATGTTTTTTTCCGTTTCTATTGCACTAAATCAATTTTTAGAAAGTATGGAATTAATCTTTATTAAATTATCTCGACAATAGTATGCAAAATATCTTGATTCCGTGAACTAACAAGGCTATAATACTAAAAATAGTTGCCAAAATGAGTTAAAAAAAATTTTTCGATCGTAAAGCACTCTCTGATGCTTCGCATCATGAGTCGTGCAAAAAATCGCCACGATTTTCGGTTACGCGCCGAGTAATTGAGTAAGTTATTAAATATCTGCTTTGAATTATTTTTACTAAGTTATGACATGAAATATGAATATTAAAGTTCGTTATATAATTTTTGTATTACTCATACGGGAAAAGTAGTATCTTGACGCTCGCAGTTGCGTTTGAAAAAGAGCCGTTTGCCCATTTTAAAATTACGCGTGAGTTTTTTCATAAATAAAACTGTTATTTGAGTGCGACAAGTTTACTTGTCACACGCAAATTATTCTTGGTGAACTCAAACTATCCTTGTCGCATTCAATTGACTGTGAAAACTGCTAATATTAAAATGAATAACAATTGTTCTCTTGTTCTTGTATTTGTTACTCCTTGTAAACTCGCTTCGCTCGTGCGTTCAACTTCGCTTTCGTGGGCAATCGACAACTTGTCGCACTTGTTGCACAATATACTATTGTAAGCTGATTAACTAATTTTTAAATCAAATAATGGCAGAGTCTAAATAATGACAACAATGGTAATAATGATGCGATCATAATTGATGAAATACAATAATTATAATAAGAGCAATGGAAAAATGAATTACTCATATTAATATTTGTATGCATTTCTATTATACTAATATAGCTTTGATCTAATACGTAAAAAATTTTTTTTCTTAAGCCTTATCGACCCAATTTCTGTGAAGTTGTAAATAGTAAAAAAATGATATGTCATAAAGAAGTGTCACTTCTTACTTGTGTACTCTGGTACACACACATTTTTTTTATATCAGCTGTAGAGCTTGAACCCTGCTGAACCAGACCAAGTCCAACCACAGGAACCGTTCAGTCGAAAGAGAGATATATTTATTGATATATTAGAAATATTTAATTCTGTCAGTATTCTAAAAGCGGCGCTGTAGTCTTATTGATTAAAGCCAAAAACATCATATTCTTGAGATTAATTATTTGGCTTTAGAGGAAGTAAAATATCTCTTGCGTTGATAAATTGAATTTCATTAAACAGTAAAAAGACGGACTATTTCAACAAGAAATGAAAAATTTTAATAAATTTGGTATTTTGATAAATTCAATTTTTCCTAATATGAAAAGAAATTTCCGTCATCGTGGTCGTTTGCTGACACACCATTGTATTCTTAATAAACCTGTTGCTTTGCTGAATCAAATAAATGCTGGTGCAGTGTAAAAGTACAAGAACTACGTCACAAAAAAATGTTGAATATTACTAATATCATATAGTAAGATACAACATCTACTTTTCACGAGGGTGGATTTTTTTTATTGCAATTTTTTTATATTATTTGTCTTGGCATTTTCCCGCACAGAAATAAAAGCTTTATCTTAACTCGAAAAAACTGCCTTAGCCTTAGCCCAAGAGAGTTTCCAAGAAGAAAAAAATTTTAATTCAGATAAATATTTTTTCACTGTTGACAATTTCGACTCTTAAATTTATTGTAATTCTTAGTCTTACTTATTTATTAGTACAAAAAATTATTTATGTAATTAAATGTAACTAAAAAAGTTATAAACTAATTTTGAACGTCTAATTTTATTATTTAAATTTTTCCTAATATGCTATCAATAAAATTAGAAAAATAATTTTCGTTGATGCTTTGTTAATAATAACTAATTACTTAATATTAAAAAAATAGAATTAATTTTCTCTATTAAAGTATTGAGATGAATAAGTATAAAACTTTATCATTACTAAAATGATTTTATCGCGTCAGAATTATCTCAGAGAAGTTAAACTTGGTGAATCAGATAAAAATATAAAAAGCACTTTGTTTATCTTGGAATATAACGAGGGAAAAGAAAATGGAAATATAGTATAGATGAAAAACAGAATAGCTTAAATATAAGATAACACGCACACATGTATTATATAATGGGATTGTGGTACAGCATCTAGATTTCGTAAGGGTAGTTCCCCTTATTTTTTTTTTTTATTTCATCTAACTTCCCCTAAAATTTTTCCGACAAAAGAAAAGATCCAGTCTGCCTATAGCCTTCTTTCGTTCATCATGTGCTCGTATCATTTTTTATATTTGTTTATAATTTTTGGTTTTTTTTGTGTTTGTGAGTAAAAAAATTAATAAGATTCAGAGAATATTTCGTGGCGTTTTCTAAAAAAATTCTGTTCTGTTATTCAGGTTTCTGCACGGAGGATGAAGAAAGGTTGGTCCGAGATTTGTTCAGAGGATACAATAAATACATACGGCCGACCCGAAATATGACCGATAAAGTTCACGTGAACTTTGGATTGACGTTCGTACAACTTATTAATGTGGTAAGTGTTTAAAAATTTTCTTAAAAATTAAGAAATTTTTGCAACTACGAATACATTTTTTTTTAATGCTATGAAATTTTAAATATTAATAAAAATTTTTGTGTAAATTAATTTGAGATTTTGAGGAAAATGGAAATTCAATCTGGCAGTGAAGTGTAAATAATGTAAAGTTACAGTTAGTTACATATTGATTTTTTCGGTGATTTGAGAAGAGAGAAAAATTACATTAGGGTGAAATGAGTCATCAAATTCTCGTGAATTGGAAGTCCACACGTGCATGCGCAAAATAGGACACGTTTGATGGGAAGTGAATAAGGAAATTATAGTTTGTTTATCTTTAAACGGCTAATCGATATTTTGTTATAGTAAATTTAAATTTAATTATTCAAAACTTTTTATTTTTATAACATATACTAATCTAGCCAGAAATTCAAGTTAATTTCTTCAATTTGGTACTTTCACATTCCGATAAATGGAATGAAATTATTAAATAAATTCGATTAGTTATCAAAAAATAAAAATAAAAGTCCAAAAATCTTTAAAACAAGTAAATTTGATTTTGAAGGAATCAAAAAAATTTGACGCGCTTTTCGATCTCCAAAAATTTTATAAAATCAAAATTCAATTGCTCAGAAAATTTGAAAATCTTACAAAAAAATAAAAAACAAATTACCATCTTAATTTTGAATCCCAATAAATTATCCTTAAAAAGTTCTATGGTCTTCTTGATAAATTTATGTGAGAATTCATCAGTTTTTATAATGATTTTAATTGACGTGTTTTTCAATTAATTATCAGTTCATAAGTATTTTTTTAATGATTAATAAAAAAAAACCCATATAAATTTGAAAAACTACTCAAGTAAATATTTGTCTATAACTTAATTCTTCCAGAATGAAAATTTTTTTTAGGATGAAAAAAATCAAGTGATGAAATCCAATGTCTGGTTGGAACTTCATTGGCACGACTATCAGTTACAATGGGATCCCAGTGACTACCAAGGAATACAAAAATTAAGAATACCATCCGACAAGATTTGGAAACCTGATATCGTTCTTTTCAATAAGTAATTTTTCAATTTATAAATAAATTTCTGCAGTTTGTTAATCATTACTAATGTTACGAAGATGATGTAATCAATATCAGAATTCACACTAAATTATTATACGTATTCTAACAATTTTTGATTGCAGTGCCGATGGGAAGTATGAAGTACGTTACAAAAGCAATATCATCATATTTGCAGATGGAAATATACAATGGGTACCGCCAGCTCTTTATCAAAGTTCATGCACAATAGATGTTACTTATTTTCCTTTTGATCAACAAACATGCTTAATGAAATTTGGCTCATGGATTTATAACGGTGATCAAGTCTCACTGGGATTATTAGACGATAAAAATTACGTATCACTATCAGACTACAGCAAAAGTGGTACCTGGGATATCATTGAATTGCCAGCATATTTGAATGTATATTCAGAACCCAATGCTCCAACAGAAACTGACATCACATTTTACATAACGATTCGCCGGAAAACGTTGTTCTACACAGTTAATTTGATAGTGCCAATTATAATGGTATCATTTTTGGTTATTGGAGAGTTTTATTTACCAGCGGAAGCTGGTGAAAAAGTCACTTTGGGCATTAGTATACTCTTATCGCTTGTTTTGTTCTTATTATTAGTCAGTAAAATTTTACCGCCAACATCATTAGTGCTTCCGTTAATTGCCAAATACCTATTATTCATATTTTTGATGAACCTGTTCGTTATTTCAATGACTGTGATAGTCATCAACTGGAATTTTCGTGGACCAAAGACTCACCGAATGCCGTCCTGGATGCGTCTAGTTTTTTTGAAATATTTACCGACTATATTATTCATGCAAAGACCGAAGAAAACGCGACTCCGTTGGATGATGGAGCGAGGCAACAGCAAATATAATAATAGAACGAATAAAAATGTGGTTCCTATTTCGGCAGAGCATGCAGCTGCGTTCAGTGAATCTAGGAATAATCAACTGAAAGCTATGGAACTGATTGAAATGAATAACATTCACTTGCAAAACCATCATCATCCGAATTGTAACGTCAGTCAGGGTCATCTGCCCAATAACATCCCGAATACCTATACTCACAATGACAGTGATGATATTTATGAAACAGTCGTCAATAGAAGGCAGTCGGAATTGGGCAGAGATCTGGAGCATCCGATGATTAAAGAGACTATTCAAGCTGTCGATTTTTTAGCAGAGCATTTAAAAAATGAGGATTTATACATCCAAGTAAATAAAGTTTTAATGTTTCGATTAAAATTTGAAATTAATAGATCTTGTTTCAGTTATTGTAAAATATTAATCAAATGCTTATTCATTTTCAGACAAGAGAAGACTGGAGATATGTTGCAAAAGTATTTGATCGTATGCTTCTTTGGGCATTTTTCCTATTTACAGCAGCAAGTTCAGCATCTATTTTGTTAAGTGCTCCACACATTTTCTCATACGTTGACCAAGATGAAATTATTAGAAAATATCAATAACCTTATCTTATACATCTCTAGCAAATGAAAAAGAAATTTAAATTTATGAAGATGTATTGGCTCAGGTGTTTTAAATTTTTATACACATATAAGTTTTTTTATATGTGTCTTCAGATTTTTTATGTATCCTAGTGTTTTTCTGCTGTACTAACTCTTCGAGAAAGGTACATAATAATTACTTTAATTTTTGTTGGTTTTTTACATAAAATATGATGAACAACCATCTCATTGCATTTTGCAATTATTAAAAGCTTCTGTTTATCTTCAATACAATATATTTCTTTGCTTAACCTCAAGAAATATTAAGAAAATTTAGAATTAAGTAACCAATGTCAACCTCAAGGTAGTGTTGAGCAGAGCTAGACCAAAACCAAGAATAACTCCAAACCATCTTGGTAACGGTCTCTGTCTTACTCGTTCGGTCTCTTGATCTTGCTAAAATACTTATAATCTTGGTCTTAGTCTTGGTCTTGCTCACTTATCAATTTACTATTTTATATGTTTATATACTATTTACTGATTACTAAAATAAATAAAGAGTTCTATTGAAAAACAAAAAAAAATCTGAGAAACAGTTTACCTTGCAGGTTATCCCTGAAACTTCCAGCCATGTACGAATTCAAAACGCTCGGTAAGTTGTTTATTCAAAAGTTTTGAACTCTTCGAGCTCAAAAATACAACTTGTATACTTTTCCGAGCTTTTTGAGAAAAACTTTTGTGAAAATTTTAAACTGTGGTATCTGCCAATCGAATCAATCGGTTTTGATGGAGCTTAATTAAAGCATTCGGCGCAATTTTTTGAGCACCAAAAGATTATTCATTACCTACCAAATAATTCAACGTAAAATTTTAAAGTAATGTTAAAATGACCCTTTTTTGGAATTTTTTAAAGTTAAATATCTCACGAACGATTTAACCGATTTTGATGCAGTTCACGGTAATTTACGGATTTTTTTTTAGTATAAAAAGATTATTTCTCAATCGCTAAGTAATCTGGACAGAAATTTAGAAGTTGCTTAAAAAAAATCACTTTTTTTGATTTTTTTCGTCAACGATATCTCACAAACAAATCTACCATAATTGATCGTCTTTCATCGTCTATCAAGTTATAGTATATTACACTACTAGGGCAGAAAGTTTAAGATTTCTGCACTGCGCGCTATGCTGAACGAGGTGTAGTAGCCCAAGGCATCACCGCGCGCAGTTTAGAGCTCTCAAACTTCGGCCCGATCAGTGTATCCTATTTTTTTCTTTATAGCCGGTCAAAAGTACGTAAAATATTTAATGTGCTGCATCAAAAAAAATTAATGCCTGCCCCCAACACTTGTGGCTCGAGTGAAGTGAGTGCTGTTGATCGGGTTGGGGAGAAGGGGAGGGGGGGGCACCCATCAAATAAATACAAATCAATGTAGATAATTAACAAACATTTGATTTGAAAAATTTTTAAATTAAATAAAACTGAAATTTCTTGAATTCAACAAACAAAGATTATTCTCGGTTAAAAATAAAAAAAAAAAAAACGAACATATTATCCGAAAATTAACAATTATTAATAATAATCAAATTAAATTCGTCAGTTGAGATCATTTTTTTAAATGATTCATTAATTAAATAAAGTTGATATCTTAGTACCATCAATAATCGTAACTAAATAACCAGCGTGAACAAAAAATAGTTAGTAATAAATGACTAATGTCAGTAGGGGTAATGAGAACATTTTATGATCCCGCTGTTACAGAGGGCGAATGTGAAGCTTTACCAATACACGAATCTTTAACTTTTTACCTCGATATAGGTGCAAAAGATGCGTACTTTGGACCGAGGTATAAAGAAAAATAATAAAAGATGAATTAGAGACATACTTTTTGAATAATTATAATAAACCAAAACAAGTATGCATTGCTATTTTGTAATCGATTCATTTAATACCACGAAGCATACACATAGATTTAAATTTAATGTTAAGTCATTTACACTTTCAACACATAAAAACTTGTAACCTTTAGATAAACAAATTTCATAAACACAACACATCAGTAATATTTTCACTTCAAAAGTTGACAAACGATTAAATACTGAAGATTTGAAGATGAAATGACTCTAAGAGTGATTATAAAATTGAAAATTACACCCGAAAGACTTAATTACTTACATATTAAACACAATATATAATTAATAGTAGAATTTAACGCAACACATCAACCAATTCGTTAATTGATTTTTCCTAGATTAGAATCATTCGCGGCTAGTTGACGGAACAATCCGACCCGAAAAAAAAGTGATTCGCGGTTGTGCTCTCAATCTCTCCATGAACTGTTGTCGCTCCTTTTCCTGTCTTTTATATTTTGAATGATTGTGGTGAACAATAAGTTCAATTCCAAATATGACCAAACTCCATAGCAAAATTGCCGCAAACATAATGAAATAAAACACCAAATTTTCAAAGTCGATACGTTCATAGTTTTCACCTTCTTTGATTTTCTCTATCTTCTTAATCTTTTTCCGTAGATCTATCTCCTCATCAAAATGATTGATTAATCCTATTTCCACTGGTATTGAACGAGCTTTGTCAATTTTGTCCTTCAGAGCCCAGTTCTTCTTAGTCCAAAACACGTAGTATGTTTTGAAGACACTTTCCTTTGATATATGAAGACTCTTGAGCTTTAAAGCGTATGTAAGTAGGAATTCAGTAACGTCTATACAAGCGATAGTTGAATTTTGTTGGGCTTCGATTGCACATTTTTCCAAATCACGATCACTTGATGGATGCAAGTATTTCTGGTCCTCATCGGTCACCCACAATTTTTCATTCATCATATCATTTATCAACAATCCGTCGAAAAATACATGGTACTTATTTTCAAATAAGTCCTTTAAAGTTTCGACATTACGTCGGGCTGGTTGCGACAGAATTGCTGAGATCTGACCTTGGAACTCGGGCATCACTACAAAAATGAATAAAAATCCAAAGAAATAAGTGATCTTCATCGAGAGACGTTCAATTGGAGACATTATTCCCATTCCCAGTGACATGCTCACAATGTCCATAATTCCTTGGCTAACGTGAAATTTATTATTCATTATTATGATCAGTAGAATGAGTAACAACACAAAGATTGTGATACAGATCAAATTCAGATTTATGTTAACTTCCCTGATTACCATTAAATAATCAGTCTTTTTCGTTAATATTGAATAGGGTCTTTCTTGGTATTGCGTCACAAAATCCATTAATTTATAATTAGTATCTGCTAGTTGAGACTGTTGGTTGAATGCATCATACTGACGAGCGAAAAGATTTTGATCGAAACCTGATTTCACCATTTTGATAGTGAAATATTTATCGATGACATGAAGTGACGTTTTTACGTTCATATAATCAGGTAAAGAATATAATGTGAAGTCTTGTATCTCTTCAATCTGTTTTATGTACTCATTAACTATTTTCTGTTTATGCTGTTCGGTTGAATATCTTAAGTCAGTAAGTGCCAACAATTCTATTTTATGACCGTCCAAGTACTGAGTTTTATCGAAGTCAATGATTCGATACTTTTTCTTCAAATCTGAAAATTAATTGAATACATTTAAAAAAGGAACATTACTCAATTTTATCTTTCTTTTTTGAAAGTAGTAATTGGCTCAACCAAATGTTTTACTTTTTCTTATTCAAATTGTAATTAATTACTAAACTGAATAATTACCTTTCGGATACCGCATACTGTATAGTGTCGGCTTTGTTGTACTATTGCCATTTGAAGTTCCTACTTGATTCCAAGGTAACGGAGCGAATTGTGTGTAAGGGTTCAGAGTGTAGAGTACGGTTGAATCTTCATCCTTATCATAACGCAAGTAATATGATACCAAGATATCAAAGTGTGCGAGGAATCGAAGAACTGAATAAGGATTCGTAGCATAAAACTTTTCAGAAATGTCCAGAATGAAAATTGGTGACTTTATACTCCAAATTGTTGAGCCCATGAACCCAAAAATGAGTGGAACCAGTTTCTGCATGGATTCAAACCTGATGACGTACGTAGGATAGCCAGGATGATACCCTACCATTTGCTTACGTTTAAAATTGCTATTCACTATAATCAGCGGATTTCCATTATCGACATTTCCACTTACAAATTGGTCATCAACTAAATCAGAACTTACTATCACTGGATTCGAATTATCCGTAAAATCTTTATTAATTAATTCCATCTGTTGAAACAATAAACAATATTGAAAGAGATAATAAAAATTAATTCAGAAAAATAATCAACTCACTGTATGATTGATGAGACGCGTTTTGATTTCTGAAGCGTCAATGCGGCTTCCATTTGAAAAGTGTCCAGTAAATACACAACAGCAGTATAAGATAATTTTGATGAACTGCATCATTCAGCTATTAATGGTCAATTTCAATAACAAATCTCGCGCAATATTAGAAATGGTTGAAAACTTTTAAAATCATCGAGGTATTTTAATTTACGACGAAAACTTGTCTGGCAAGCTAGCAACTGAGCAGTTTGAAAATAAATTGTGGACTGAATGCTTTGCAAAATGTCTGACTTTGTTTCGAATTGTTGTCCATGACAACTGCAGCCCACAATGTAGGAAAAGATCGTTAAATTTTATGATGAGCTTCGTGGAAAAGACACGTCAACTAGACCAGCTATTACTTGGTCTTAAAAAAGAATTCTTTTTATTTCTATAAAATTGACTAACGTTGTCACTAGGACTGCTAAAGCTCTAGGAATTATCGACCGAAAATTGCCCGGGAGTTATGTTCTAGCACTTTCGTTTCACTAATCTTCCATCGGTTGGCAAATACTAGCATTCACTACGAACTTAACCTTCAGGTATTTCTGTGTGGTGCAACCAACGGGTCGATTTATTAAATGGGTCAAAAAGTAAAACAAAAATAAGTTAAAAATTTACATCAACGGTCCATATGAAAAAGTTGCATCTAATTTTCATTATAGTATTGTTTTATCAAAAAAAATTTTTTTTCGGGATAAAAAAATTCAACAACCTTATAAGAAAAACTTTTTATTGCAAAATTAATTTTTATTACATAATCTTTATTAACGATGCCATTAACGAATTCAATTGTAAGTTTTACGGAACTGGATAAATCACTATACATATCTTAATTTAAAATGAACAAACATAAATAATATTGAGATAAAATCAATAATATTTCTGTAAACTTGCGAAAAAAGCAAAATTAAAGGATTATTTCACTTTAATTAAGATATTAAAATAACATCTCAGATTAGGATAAAAAATTTTGTGTTTTTAATTTAGGTTTACTTTCAATGGTTGGGCACTATTAGAAAGGAAAAAAATTATTTTTTATTTAGTTATTAATTTATTTTTAATTCAATTCTCATTAGAAAACATTTTCTCCTTCAAAGTTCAAAAATTGTATTGGTATGTAATATATCAAGGAGGTATTTGAATATTAATTTACACATGATAATCTTGAATGAACTCTACCTCATAAATACAGATTTAGCCTACTCATTTCTGCAGCAATTTCATTTATTACCTTAAAAAAAAAAAGTGAGCATTAAGATTCAAGTAAATTTATAAACTATGAGCACAATCGAGCAAAATAAGTTCCTAAGAACTTGGAGTGCATTAAAATTTCGAAGACTACTAATTGAAAAAGTTACAGCATACTAGATGCGCTCAAGGTTCGAGTTATCGAGATAAATTTGAATCATATGTGATTTTTTGCTTATCAGATGAGCCTCGAGTCTTCATCTGTGCACGCGCTCCAGGTAACTAGAGTGTTGGCACGAAGAAAATTTTTCACACCTTCTGATAGGCACAGATCGCTCGGGGATAGTGTAGTATAACTTTTGCGTAGGCGTTTGTGTGTTTCATGAACATATATATATATATATATATATATATATATATATATATATATA